TGTCCTCCCCCTCCTTCATCAACTCTAACAGCTGACGACTTTGCCACGTTCTTCATTAATAAAATTAAAACCATTAGTGCACAATTTTCCACACCAAAATCTGTCAAGCACATCTTACCAGCAAACATACACCCATTCACATCCTCTTCACTCTCTGAGGCAGAAGTCTCCAAACTCCTTTCGAATCATCCTACTACTTGTCCGCTTGATCCTATTCCATCTCATCTCCTTCAAGCCATTTCTCCAGCAGTTGTACCGGCACTCACTCACATCATTAACATATCCCTTCACATTGAGCTGTGTTCAACCAAGTCTCTGCCTTTCTCACACAGAACAACCTACTTGACAGCAACCAGTCTGGTTTCAGAAGTAGATATTCAACCGAGACTGCCTTGCTCTCAGTTGTTGAAGCCCTAAGCTCAGGAACCGCACTCCAGTGGTTTGAGTCTTACCTATCAGATAGGTCCTTCAAAGTATCTTGAAGAGGTGAGGTGTCCAAGACGCATCATCTAACTACTGGGGTGCCTCAGGGCTCAGTTTTTGGACCACTTCTCTTCTCTGTCTACATGGCATCATTAGGTTCTGTCATTCAGAAACATGGCTTTTCATACCACTGCCATGCTGATGACACTCAACTTTACCTCTCATTCCATCCTTATGATCCGACGATCTCAGCTTGCTTCACAACTCCTTGTTCAAGCTCTTGTTCTGTCCAGGCTGGACTATTGCAATGCTCTCTTGGCAGGTCTTTCCAGCCAGTTCTATCAAACCTTTACGATTAATGCAGAACGTGGCAGCAAGATTCATTTTTAATGAGCCAAAAAGAATGCACGTCACACCTCTGTTTATCAATTTGCACTGGCTACCAATAGCTGCTCGCATAAAATTCAATGGATTTGTTTGCCTACAAATCCACCACTGGCTCTGCACCCCTTTACCTAAATTCATTACTTCAGAATTATGTGCCCTCTAGAAGCTTGCGTTCTGCAAGTGAACGTCGCTAGATTGTGTTATCCCAAAGAACCACAAAATCACCATCTTTATTTGACCCTCTAACTTTAGCACTCTCTATTCTAATTTTATTCTTAAAAAAAAAAACGAACTCTAGCTTTCTAATCTTTTTGTATTCTATCCGTTTTCTTTTCATTTATTATACAATTAACAAAAGCAAAAAGACCTCTAACACTAGCTCGCTCTATTCTTTTTCTATTCTATCTGTTTTCTTTTTATTTATTATAATATTTAAAAAACCCTTGCTACGTGTACTGCGTTAAGGTAACTGAGACTTGTTATAGGAATTCTGGGAATGTCAATTTAGGGTTATTCACTGTAAATTATACGTTCGTTTTTACTTCCAAAAACAGTATACTACCATAAAATTACATGTAATGTCCAGGCAGAGGCTATTTACACTAACTCCGCCCACCAACGTGTGATTGGGCTAGTCAACACTACAAAAGACGATCATTTAACTACATCTCCAGTGGAATACATGGTAAAGCGCATGCCGTGGTCATTTTTGACGCGATCGACACAAGCTTGAATCCGCCTTTTTATAATGTACTACAATACTGAGGTGCAGATAATTGCCACTATTTGCAAGAAGTAGTTTAAATAGCAGAAAATCTTGCTATTTTAACAGTGTAAAGCTGCGATCACACTAGAGTTTGAGCATGCAAAATTCCCTCGCATGCTGCAAAGGTTTTGATATGACGTCATGCTCTGCAGCATCTTTTTAAAAACTTAAATTAAACATAACTAGTGTTGTCAAAAGACCCGGTATTTCGGTACCAAGTCGGTACTAAAAAAATGAAAACGTTACGGTACCAGGTTTTTTAAAGTACCGGTGGTACCGAGAACCGTGGATTTTCACTGATATTGGTACCGAATACTGACATTTTGGTACTGTGACAACACTACGCATAACTAATAATAATACATCTAAAATGTAAAAACATACAATCTACTCCACTTTCCTGCAGCGCTGAAGTTTTAAATATATGTTCTTTTAATTCAGCTACGAGGTCATGCTGTGACGTATCGATCTGCTGTTGGTCACACAGTGTCACGTGATACAAATTCGCAGGTCAGGGTTCACCAAACTTGAACTTTGCTATGTAGCGAAATGCAAAATATCTTCGCACATGCTTGCGTTTCCGGTCTGACGCAATCGCATGCGTATGAATGGAAGTCAATGGAACGAAAAGTCTAGTGTGACCGCGGCTTAAATAGAATCTATTACTATTTACACTTAGTGCAAATAGCCGCTGCCTTCTTTTTGTTTTCTTTGTGCACAAAAAATATTCTCGTAGCTTCATAAAATTACAGTTGAACCACTGATGGCATATGGACTGTTTTAACGATGTACTTACTACATGACCATCACTCAATACAAGCCCCCACCACAGGCCTGTGATGATGACACATCCCTCCCAGATGCACTCAACCACCTTTATAGCCCACACCTCCCAACGACCAGGCGCTCTGTCTGTCTCCAGCCGGCCTAAGGAAGACCCTATCTAGGATTAACCCACGCAAGGCTGTGGGTCCTGACAACATACCTGGCCGTGTACTGAGAGACTGTTCTGCACAGCTGACAGATGTCCTAACAGATATCTTCAACACCTCGCTGAGCCAGGCAGTCGTCTGTGTTAGAATGCTGTTCATCGACTTCAGCTCAGCATTCAACACAATAATCCCACAACAAATCATCAACCTCCCTCTGTAATTGGATCCTGGACTTTCTAACTGGAAGACCTTAGTCAGTCCGTGTCGGCCGCAACACCTCCAGCGCTACCACACTGAGCACAGGTGCCCCACAAGGCTGTGTGCTCAGTCCGCTGCTCTTTACACTGCTGACCCACGACTGCACTGCCAAGTTCAGCTCCAACCACATCATCAAGTTGGCTGATGACACAACTGTGGTAGGTCTCATCAGCAACAATGATGAAACACCCTACAGAGAGGAAGTGGCTAGGGTTGGGCGATGTCTAAAATTGGCATCGGACGATGTCTACTTGTGCCGGCTCAACATCATGATGTCTATCAGCCATGGGCGATGGACGATGGCATCGTCTATCGGCCCAACCCTAGAAGTGGCACAACTGGTTGCATGGTGTGGTGTAAACAACCTGTCCCTCAATGTGAGAAAGACAAAGGAGGTTGTGATAGACTTCAGGAGGAACTCTGTTGACCACCCCCCACTGACCATCGACAGCTCGACTGTGGAGAGAGTCACTAAATAAAGCAGCACTAAATTCCTGGGAGTGCATCTAACAGAAGAACTCACCTGGACCACCAACATTACATCACTCTCCAAGAAGGTGCAACAGCGGCTCCACTTCCTACGCTGACTTAAAAAACAAGTCTCCCTCCACCCATCCTCACCACATTCTACAGGGGCACCATTGAGAGCATGCTGACCAGCTGCATCACTGTCTGGTACGGGAACTGCAGAGCTGCTGACCGCAAGACCCTACAGCGGACAGTGAACACAGCTGCAAAGATCATCGGTGCCCCTCTCCCCTCCATTCTGGACATTTTCCTTGCACGATGCTCCAGTAAAGCCACCAGTATCGTGAAGGACTCCACCCATCCCTCCCATTATCTCTTCCAGCTCTTGCCATCAGGAAGACGGTATCGGAGCATAAGAGCCTGCTCTGCAAGACTGCTCAACAGCTTTTTCCCCCAGGCTGCGAGAGCCCTTAATTCCAATCACCTCACCCCACGCTGAAAACCCCATCCACAACCCTACCTCCAGAAACCAAGATCCTCTCACCCGGTTAACCGACTGTAAGAATTTTGACCAATTAATACAATCAGTTAAACGGTTTAAAAATTTGTATTATTTTTTTTTTCAGTAATTTATCAAAATATTTAAAAAGGTTTGATGCATGGTAAATAAAAAACATAAGTCGCGTATAAGTCGCATTTTATTGTTTCATTATGTTTTGCATAACATCACGGCGGTACGGTGATAACGCTTAACGGCACAGACTTTACTACATATTTGAACTGAGCAGTGTGTTTTTTTTCCATATGTTTGACTGACTGTATTTTATTATGATAATGAACTGGCTGCATTGTCAAGGTAGCAATGCTTAACTGTGTGTGCACATGCGGCGCCGGCGCAATCACAAGAGTTTTTTCCTTCTAACAGTGGAAGCAACTACTCCTAAAGATACTAAAGATAATCGGAATTGTAAAAGGTTTGCCTTTATTTGTGTACATTCACAATAAAAACTGCTTTTGTAAAATAAGCCTACAGAAAAATAGGATGCCACTCTCTGTCGTCTGTTTCCTTTCACGCAGCACAAAAATGAACCGAAACTCTGCATACTAGGCTACTCGTTATATGAAGATTAAGAATTCTGTCAGGCTATTGATTGATTTTCCATTGTTCTGCATTTCCCCAGCTGATTTGAATAAATAAGCTATGCTTTGGCCGACGCTGAGTGTATGCTCTTCTTCTTTTTTCTTTTTAACGACCACCTAAAATGAAATAAGGCAAGTGTGCGGCAAGCGGAATTCATTGAGGGATTTGACAGTGTGATTTATATTTTAAGTATTTCAAATATAGGCTATTATATATGCATGCACAGAGGTTTTTTTTTCTTACCATCTTTTAGGGGTTTCTTGCTTTTAGACTAGTTGACTCATCTGTTTAGGTTCATTGTTGAGTAGAATATCAGCTATATATCTTTTTTTTTTTTTATATATATATAGCTAACACTTCAATTTAGCTGCATTTAATAAACTATACACCATAACTGAACTATGACTGAGATTTAATCGATTTTAGGCATCCTTCAAAAGTGTCCAGCAAACAATAGTTATATGGTTATATGCTGCACACTTTTACTTTAGGCACAAATTTACCAGCTTTACTGTAATTACTGTAAGTAAAACAATGGTAAATTTGTGCTTAGCCTAATGTGGTTTTATTACAAATACCTAAGTTAAACTCTGGTTACTGTAGTAAAGCCTATAGGTTAATTTTCCTAAACAGATTTGTATAACGAACGCTTCATTTAAGCTCATTAGCGCACTAAAGACAACAAACACATAAATAGTTCAAACACATACCGAGACTATAAGCGCTCCAACCGTCTTTCCTTCTTCAGCGCTTTTACCGGTGGATTTACTGGACTAAGATATGCTCACAGCGCCTCCTACAGCACGAGAAGTGCTCATCTGAGTCAGAACGCCTGCGTGTTAGTAGATATTCTATCTGCGCCTGCTTTCCTCATTAAAATAAAATCTGCACATTTAATTTCAGTGTACACCGTCATGCTTGCACAGCCCAAGAAACACGAATAAGTTTTCGAAACGTATAAACTGATGTGTTTAATGATTTTTCTAAAGTAAAATCAAAATTTAATCAATTAAAATTATGGTGAATGGCAATCAAATGTGACACACAGGACACTAAAATGTCCATCATATGGACACTTCAGAGTCTCGCCGGATGTAGTTCCTACATCCAAATTTCATTCATACTATCCTCATTCATGTTATAATAGAACATACTTTTTAACAGTCGCTAAGATAATTCAAATTAACATGTACTTCCTACTCACAGTATGCTATTTCAGTGCAGTTAGCCTTGGATGTCTGAAATATTAGCTTGGAGACGCTGCAAATATGGCAGAGTGAACAAACTTTACTTGAAATGATCTTTGACTCTCTAACGCAAATTAAAGGAAATAACAGTCATTTCTAGCCATGATGTGGCAGTATTAAAAACTGCTAAAAGAAGCTGTGACAGTTTTGTGTGGTCATAATTCCAAATATCCCATAAACATACACTTTAATTCTATCTGATCTTTAATTCTATTTGACATTACAGTGAAGTTCAAATAGCTGCCACAAAACCACCAAACTTATCCTCCCAGAGGATTCGTTTCTACCAAGTAAATATCTTACCTTACACGGCGGCATAAATGCTCTGGAAGAACAGTGAAGAAATGGATAATTAATAAACCATGGTTCTTTCTTGATTAAAAGAAACCAGTACTGCAATGAAAAACAGAGTGTATTCTCCTTCATGCATTTCACCACAAAAAACATGATTAACAGCCTTATGAAATCCAGGTGCTTGTATTATTGTAGTATTTTATTTTGAGGATTTTTAATAGTTGGTGTCTTTGCTTAATTATTTATTTATTTTTTAAATTACATGAGACTTTGTGACTTCCTGCACTTGCTATACATTATACTTCAGTACAGTAAAAGTACTAAAATGTGTTACAAATAGCTCAATTTGGACATTTTCACTTAGGGGTGTACTCACTTTTGTGGCCAGCGGTTTAGAAATAATCCGTAGTTTTGTTTTATTTGTAACTCTTTGGTAGATACATTTATAATTTATATTACATTACTACTACTACTTTTACTACTAATAAAACTGATCTCTGGGGGCCCCAAAAGTGCGTGGGGCCTTAGAATCGTCCTAACTTTCCCCCCTCTTAGCGGTGCCCCTGCTGTCTGGTTTAACAAAATCATTGCTCTACTCTGTCAAACATGACTTTATATACAGCACTTGGATCAATTCACTGCATTAAAAGTTGACTGCCCCCTACTGGCAGTAAGAGCTCAATGTACAGTTTCAGGATGAGCCGAACAGATGGAGCAGCGGTAAGGTTTCTCTCCTGTATGAACTCGCTCGTGGATCTTCAGGACGTCTGATCGAGCAAACGTCTTGTCACACTGTGAGCATTTGAATGGTCTTTCTCCGGTATGAATCCTCTTGTGCTTTCGTAAAGTATCAAACTTACTGAAACTCTTCCCACAGACGCTGCAGTGATAGGGTTTTTCTCCAGTGTGGACTCTCTTATGAAGTCCAATATAAACTGGACTAGAAAAGCTCTTCCCGCAGTAGGAGCACAGATATGGTTTCTCTCCGGTGTGAATCCTCTCGTGACAAATCAGGAAGGATTTGTGACGGAATCGTTTGTCGCAGTATTTGCACTGAAACGGTTTCTCATCAGAGTGTATAATTTGGTGTGACTTTAGACAGCTTGAGTTTGTAAAGGTTTTCCCACATTCACTGCACTGATACGGCCTCTCATTGGTGTGAACACGCACATGTGTTTTCAAAGCTCTTCCCGCAGTAGGAGCACAGATATGGTTTCTCTCCGGTGTGAATCCTCTCGTGACAAATCAGGAAGGATTTGTGACGGAATCGTTTGTCGCAGTATTTGCACTGAAACGGTTTCTCATCAGAGTGTACACTTTGGTGTGACCTTAGAGAGCTTGAGTTTGTGAAGGTTTTCCCACATTCACTGCACTGATACGGCCTCTCATTGGTGTGAACACGCACATGTGTCTTCAGATGAGATCCATGATTGAAGCTCTTCTCACAGTGAGGACACTTGTACGGTCTTTCTCCCGTGTGGATTCGCTTATGAGCAACAAGATTTCCTTTCGTGCTGAAATACTTGTCACATTCGCTGCAGTGGAAAGACTTTTCACCGTGAGTCTTCAAGTGAACTTTTAGACTAGAATGAATGAAAAAATCCTTCCCGCACTGTTCACAGTGAAACTCCTTCTTCCCGCTGTGCTCTTTTGAATGAAGTCTCCTCTCTTCTGCGGTAGGAAAGCTGATGTTGCATATCTTACAGCTGAAGTCTTTCTGTTCTGTGTGTGTTCTCTCGTGTCTCGCTAAATGACCCTCTGAACTCAGTGTTTTTCCACAGGTGGCGCAGGAGAAACTCTTGACCGTCAGCTGCTCTTTTGATGTTAAGTCTGTTTCTCCATCAGAAGATGAACAGCCTTTATCATCTGAAAGGAACAAAATGGTTATAAATTCTGGGTTTTAAAATATACTTGAAAAGAGTTTGTGTGAAACTCTGCAAGTTAATTAAATAAACATATTGATAAAGTGAGTTTGGAAATGCAACATTCACCACTCATTTCACCATATTTATAATGTAATTTTACAGCATAATGGCATTATTGCAATCGAAATGTATTTCTTTCATGATTTTAGAATTTAACTATAATTATATCATGACAAAAATAATTGAAATTAGATTTTTGGTCAAATCGTGCAGTCTTACTAACAGGCACAGCAAATCTGTCTCTCTTAAAAAAACACATTCTAGATCAAAATCTCCATCAAAATGCCATTATATTCCCAAATATCTCAGAAAATCTTTACTCAAACTTGATCAGATCATCAGAGACCAACAGCCAATAAAAACCTGATCCTGCAGAGACTCTGCTGATATTCAAGTGTCATAAAAGAAAGAAACACACCTGGAGGAATGAAATCTTCATCATCATCATCATGCCCATTATTCTCATCATCATCCTCCTCTTCCTCATCACTGTGTTGTTGTTCTTTCTCTGCGGTGGTTTCGTCTCGTCTGCTCTCTATCAGGTTCCTGCAGTCCACCAGTTTGACGGAGCACATCTTCAGCGGCGTCTGCAGCATCTGCTGTTCTCCAGCGTTACAGTCAGAGGTTTGATCAGTGGATTCATGATCCTGAGCGTCAGTATAACAGAGTAAAGTGAGGCTGAGCTCTGAGTCCTGTGTGTCTCTGGATCTCTGATCTCTGACGCTCCAGACTGAATCCTGAGCTTCTGTCCCATCAGTCACAC